GGAAGGAGGCCACCCATCCAGCAGAAAGGCAGAGACCTTTCCCAAAGCTTTTCCTTCTACACCAGAAGGAGGCCACACCCGGAGGAAACGCCCTTTACACCAATGGGCTGTTCACAGCAGATCTCGTTACGGAGGATGACTACAACATAACTGCTAACCCACTGAGAATCATGGCCCAGCCAAGGTGACACACAGCCTTGGCCATCACACAGTGTCTTTTCCCCTGAATGTATTTATCTTTTCTTCTGTTTTCCTGTCTTCGGAATCAGAAGTTCCTGCCTTCCTCTCTAATTCTTTGATGTTTACTACAGCCAACTTTGTCACTGCTTTCCTTCTGGCGTTGAATGCCTCACTCATTTCCTGCAATTCTGCATTAACGATGAAAACATTGAAGGTTATGTGTTTGCTTGAGTCAAGCTCCAGCCTCCTTCCATGGGCTTTGCTGTATAATGGTCTTATCTCCATTCTTATTCCTTAACAGCTTCTGGTTGGTTCCTGTTTGACCCAATGGTTACTTAAGAACATGTTTAACTTTCTGAAAGATTTTGTCATGGAAGTTTAATTTCATTGTTTGATTAATAAAAGGTCCTGGCTAACTTTTGATTTGGGGATATTTTTCCCCCTCTCCTTTTAGATTATCTCTGTGGTCTGTTTTATTATAAAATGTAGTAATGGTGTCATGGAATTTGATTAAACAAATTTTTAAGCTGTATTTTCTAAAAGTGTACTCAAAGTTGAAGGTAAGCCCATTAATTGCATGTTATTGATTACAGCTTTCAAAATTCAATGCCGTACTTAGGTTTTCTCCAAAGACTCCAGCTGAGAGAAGGGTGGATCTCTACAGGGAATGTGTTCATGACTGGGTTTCTATCCATGCCTCCTTATCATTCCAAGAGGCTTTGCATCATCTAAATCAGTGATTGCCACCTTATTTTTAATTTGAGGGACCCCTAGTGGCACAGTGGTTAAGTGCTTGGCTGTTAACCCAAAGGTTTGTGGTTTGAAACCAGCAGCCACTCCATGGGAGAAAAATATAGCAGGCTGCTTCCATAAGATTAAATAAAACAAAACAAACCCACTGCCATCAAGTTGATTCCATCTCCTGGCAACACTGTAGGACAGAGGTCAGCTGCCCCATAGAGTTTCCAAGGCTGTAAATCTTTACAGAAGCAAATTGCCACATCTTTCTTCCATGGAGTGTCTGGTGGGTTCAGATCACCAACATTTCTGTTAGTAGCCAAGCACTTAAGCACTGTGCCACCAGAGCTCTTCCTGTAAAGATTGCAGCCTTGGAACCCCTGTGAGGCAGTGCTTCTCAGTCCTGTAGGGGCTGTGGGTCAGAATCCAGTCAGTGGTTTGGATTTTGTTTGTTTGGAGTGTCCTTTATGTTCCCCAACACTTGTTGTCATTAGTTGCTGTGGAGTCAGCTCTGACGCGTGGCGACCTTGTGTACAACAGAACGAAGCATTGGCCAGCCCTGCTCTTCTCCGTGACCCTTGGTGGGCCTGAGTCCATTGTTGCGGCCATTGTGTCACTCAGTCTCCTGGAGGGCTCCCTCCTTTTCACTGACCCTCTGGTTACCAACCTTGATGTCCTTTTCTAGTGACTGTTCCTTCCTGGTGACATGTCGAAAGCAACTGAGCCGAAGTCTCACCATCCTTGCTTCTAAGTAGCATCCTGGTTGTATCTCTCCTTAGCTGGTCCCAAAACCTTGCTGTACCTAACTATACGGTCAAAATCAAACAATGTCCTTAGCTAGCCCTGCCGCACCCCGTGTGAGACTAGACTTTGACATTGTCCAGGCTCTTTTCAATTCTTCTCCCAATTTTCAACCTTTGCCGACCCACTTCGGGTGTGGGACCCAAAGCAAACCAAACCAGTTGCTGCCGAGTCAGTTCCAACATGTGGGAGGATACAGCTGTGCCCCGTGGAGCTGTCAGTCACTGAGTGTCTGGCGGTAGCTTGTGAGTCCTGGCTTCTGAAGTGCCTCCAAGTGGATTCGAACTGCCAACCTTTTGGTTAGTAGCCAAACGTTCGCCTGTTTCCACCACAGAGGGACTCGTCTAGGACCCAGATAAGCATTCTTGCATTATTGTTGCTACATCACACAGCTCCTCTGTAAAAATGTCTTTATGTTTGTATACAGCTCTATAAGCGTATTGACAACAATCTCAGTGTTAAATTTGTTTCTAAACACTGTGGGTTAGTTCTCAGGGCACTGAATCAAATCTTCAGGTGACTTTGTCAAGAAGGCAAGAAGGTGGGATATTTCTGGATGTGTCTGCTGCCTTTACACATCAGGGAAGTCCTGGCTGGATAGAAAGGCATTGGGTCCCTCTTGCCCTCCGAAATTCAGCAGATGTTGTTTGGTTGTCCTTCTGTCGTCTGGTTCTTCTGGGTGTTATGGCGGGACACAAGGAGAGCTGGCACCCAGCCCTTGTGCCATCTCAGCCTTTGCTTCCACTGTCTTTCCCTGTTTCCTCTTGGACCCCAAGCTCCATGTAAAACCCTTTCATGTCACCTGATGGATGCTTGGACTCCTGGGACCATCATTGGTGGGGGACTGGTGTACCTCAAGAAGGGCAGGTGTGGGGAGCTCAGGGATGGGGGTATGGTCGAGGCCCCTGTGCTGGGCTGCAGGCTGACGTCCCTCTTCCTCCGCTCTTCCCTTCAGATCCGGTCAGACAAAGACAACGACATCCCCATCCGGTACAGCATCACAGGGGTGGGCGCCGACCAGCCCCCCATGGAGGTCTTCAACATCGACTCCATGTCAGGCCGCATGTACGTCACACGGCCCATGGACCGGGAGGAGCGAGCCTCTTACCACGTAAGTGCCGGCCAGGTTTGAAAAGAGGACTTGGGTACAGTAGTGGTTCTAGCTTTACCTGTTTCAGAATCACCTGGAAGGAAGGTGAGAACACAGGTGTGTTTCATCCAGAAGGATCTGGAGGCTCCTGAGAGCATGCACTGCTGAGGCATCCGGGGGGCTGCTGCGTGGTCCAGGGCCACACTGGACGGCCAGGACACACCCACACCACCTGACCCCAGGAGCACCTTCACCCAGCATGGCGTCCTGCTGTGCCTCTCCCTGATGGCCCCCCCCACTTCCACTAGCCTCTTCCTCCACGTGGCAGCCCTGTGGGCACCTCTCCCTCTCCAGATCCTGGACATGCGAACACAGTCTCCTTGTTTCCTCATGACTGTGTCTCTGACAGCAGGACTCCAGCCCTGAGAGGAGGCAGACAGCTGTGCCCTGAGCAGGGGACATCAGGGGACAGGCAGGGCCTCGCTGACAGGCACCTGCAATGATTCCTTTCCTCTGCCTCATTGCCAGGCAAAGGGGAGAGGGCCCTGGACCAGAGTTGGAGCAGCTGGGTTTCCACTCCCTCCACCTTCTCAGGGGCTCTGCTTCCTACACACAGGGGGTGCACCAGGGAGGGGATCAGCACACAGACTGGATCCAGGGTGCCTGGTCCAAACCCCAATGCCACACGCCAGGCATGAGACCACAGGCAAATCGTTCAGATTCCCCTGCCTAGGCAGTCTCACCTGCAAAGTGGGGTGACCGCAGAGCTGCCCCCAGGGTTATTCTGGGGCTCAGAGGTTAATCCATGCAAACCATGGGGCAGACCCCACATCTGGGGAGGGGGTCTCTGTGGTGGGCGTTACCATCATGCAGGGCATGAGGCAGACCCATCTAGTGAAGGGGTGCAGGCTGTGGGCGTTATCACCGTGAGGTCCGAGTAGCCAGCTCATGGGCTGCAGCTGGATAGCAAGGCCCTTCATGTAGTGGGACGGCACTCTCGGGCCCTGCACTGATGCTGCTGTGTTAACTGGATCTGATTTCGGTGGGCTCAGCAGACTGCTGGCTCTCGTGTTTTCTGTTTGTTTTTCTGGGCACTACTGTTCCTCTCCTCCCACTAGAGAGAGGAGGGCTCCACACGACGGGGGGCCATCGGGCTCATCCTCCAGCACACCCTCAGGCTCAAGAACAGAGCCTGCAGGGGATGCTCACTGATGCAGTGGGAGGGAGAGAGTTGGTAGGAGGAGGTCGAATCCGTTCTTGGCAGTGGTGCCTCACAGTCACCCCCGGCTGCCCACTAGAAGCAAGGTGTTGGGCTGAGTGGACCTTACGGCCCACATCAGGAGGCCCATTGGTCCCTTCTGGGCCATGAGACTTTTTCCTCTCTTCTCAGACTGGTTGCCTGAGCCCCAAGCAGCTACAACTTCATATGGTTGAGAACAGATGTCACACACACTTACAGTCTTCTCCAGTGAGCAGAGACACAGGTGTGGGATCAAACTCAGGCTCGCAGCACCTGGCATCAGTTCCCTAGCTCACGGGACCAAACGCCATTCTTAACAGCAGCTTCCAAGAGACCTTCCTTTTGTCTGCTCCACCTCATCTTCCGTCCACCTATCCAACCATCCATCCATCTATTCATCTATCCACTCATCTGTCCATCCAGCCACTCATTCATCTATCCAAATATCTGTCCATCCATCCATCCATCCATCCACCCATCTGTCCATCCATCCCTCCGTCCAAACATCTGTCCATCCATCCATCCGTCCAAACATCTGCCCATCCATCCATCCAACCACACATCTCTCCACTCACCTGTCCATCTATCCATCCACCCATCTGTCTAGCCACCCATGGTTCCATCTAGCCATCTGTCCATCTGTCTATCCATTCATCTACCCATCCAACCACCCATCAACCCACTAATCCATCTATCCATCCACTCATCCACCCATCCACCCACTGTTCACCCTTCCAGCCATCCATCCAGGGAACATTTCTTAAGCAGGTACTCTGCGCTAGGCCCTGGGTTGAGCACTGGACACATGACGATGAATCAAGCAGACATGCCCTGCTCTGGGGAGCTTACAATCTCGTGGGCAAATGAGGCCTCGAATCATTCTTGGGCTGCAGCCCCTAAGAAATGCTGTGTCCCCAGTTCTTCGGCAGTAAGACCACAGGCCTTCTGGAAGCTTCTCTGTCATCTTGAGAAGAGTACGGTGTGGGTGCTAACATGATGCCCCTGGTTGCTGTCTGAGACAGGTGTCTGAGTGCTCCCTGGACCCTGCCTCCCAGACTGGGGCCAAGTCAGGGAAAGAGGGAGGTGGAAGGGACATCGATTGTATTGTTAGCTGGATGGAAAAGAGACTTGTCTGCAGTGCCCAAGAGTCTAAAGGAAAGTTATGTATCCTTTTCAAGCAAGAAAGCTTATTTGTTTACAGAGCCGAGCACGTGAGGAAAACAATTTGGATGTGGGTGTCTGGGATGCGCTGCATGGGGCTGTGTCAGGCTGGGTTCTCTAGAGAAGCAAAACCAGTAAAGCTTATAGAGAGAGAGAAAGAGAAATTTATCTTAGGAAAATCGTGCTCACACACTTATGGAAGCTGGCAAGTCCCAAGTTCTTGGATCAAACGTCAAGCTGGAGGCTTTTCCCGACTTACACAGCAGCACGGGCTGAGGAGCTCAAGGTTGGCAGGCAGTGTACTGGCTGTTGACTCCAATGAATGACGAATCCAAGATCTCCAGGCCGAATGGTGGATTGTTCGCT